CATTCTCATTTGAGATTCTAATTCTCGGAAAAATTTTATTTTATAAATTTTACTAAATTTTTTATGAATTAAATATATAATGTTAAATTTATAATGTTAAATTTATATTTTATATATATGTATATTATTTATTCTGTTATATTGACGCATACGTACTGCAACTGATCCATAGTTTCTATGTCCCATAACATTGTCTTCTCGTCGTCACCAGCGGTGGCAATCTTCGTGCCATCAGGTGACCACCGACACACACGAATGCCTGTCCCAGAATTGACAAAAGAGGATTTTGCTTGATCGCCGGTCTGTTAACAGAAAATTGTCGTTAGTAAGAAATTAAAAATATGTTATTCGCAAAAAAAACATTCGTTACTTCTGTGTTCCAAATTAAAGTTGTTCCATCGAGAGAACAGGAGGCAAGCATTGAACCGCATGGACTAAATTCCACGTAATTGACGCTGTAGGTGTGAGCGTCAAGTGGACTGAATGATTTTTCCTGTATTTTAATCACTTCCTCCTCATTCTCCTCTTCTGTTTCGACGCTCCAAATGCGCACTAATTTATCACTACAAACAAAAAAAATTGAATAATTGTGTTACTGATTTTATAATTTTAAAGAGTTTAGTTAGTTTCAAAAGTTTTACCCTGATGCTGAGGCTAAAAAATTATTTCCATGGAAGGCAACGCTGTTCACCGCACCGTTATGCTCCTCCAATCTTTGAATCAATCTTACTTCATTAGCGTATGTCTCTACATTTTTCATTAGATCATGTTCATGCTTAGTAATCTAAAACGAAGAATCTCGTTAATGTTATTTTTTGTTAAAATTATCATTTATTACTTACTTTTTCAGGATCATTCACGAACCACTTTGTTCCAATATTTTTTGAAAGTTCCGAATCGATAGTTAAGTTCCCCGTCAAGTCCCATGCAATTACAGATTTATCATTAGAGCCTGTAATTATATTAAATGCCAATTATCGTGAAATAAATTATAAACTTTTTCGGAAATACAGAAAATATTACCTGTCGCTAATAAGCTTCCGTCGCGTGAAAAAGCGCAACAAGCTATATATCTATTGTGACCGGAGATTATTGTCACAACCTTTCCTGAGCTCTAAAATTAAAAATTAAAAATTAATAAAAAATTGTTTTGAGTAGTTGAGTTTTCCTCCAAGACAAGTCTCTTACCGCCTCCCAAATTACTGTCGTTTTATCGAGACTACAGCTGGCAATATATAATCCGTTGCTGCTGAAACGGACGCAAGTTAAGGCACTGCTGTGCTTTTCCATCACTCTACAAAGCTGTACAGTGGCAGTAGAGGATTGGGCCTCGCATTTATTTTGGCTCACCGTAACTTCCCACAACTTCACGTCGTGATCGTTTCCGCACGTGACCAGTTGATAAAGCTTAGTATATGGTTCGATATCTGCGATAATAACATTATTTATCACGCATAGCAATTCTCATCTTTCCTATTTGTTCAAAATAATATATCTGGAATGCCTACACAGTTAGAAATGTTTTTAATTTCATTAACTTTTAAGTTAATTTGAACTTAATTTCATGACATTACATTAAATTTAATGTATTTATAATTAAAAAGTATATTTACATGTACATAAAATTTAATGTACACGTTCATTACATTTAAGTAACTACTGTAACTTAATTTTTAGTTAAATCATTCATTACTCTTAATTTCGTTCATAACCACGAGCTTCATTTACATGTAAAGCTTGTGGTTACATTTCTAATAGTGTACGTACATGTGACTTCTTGGAATGTCGAGAAGTCGCAACAAACTACTCCCATGTCGTGAGCATCATCAATCGAGACGAGTTCGGCGATGTCTTGATTGCTAGAGGTACAAGTGTCGATCAGTTCGGCAGTGGAGAACAGCTTTAGGACACCCAACGTGCATGAAGTGATCAGCCAGCTCGAATCCGGCGAGAAGGATAGGCTTTGCACAGCACCCTCGTGCTTTTGAAAACATCTACAAATCGAAATAATATGTCTCATTGTATCTTAATTGAAACGCAAATTAGAACATTAAAAAAGGACTAATATTACTTTGCAAAAGAAATTAAGGATTAAAATTTGAATTACAACATACTTTTCATTGAATTTCTTATAAAAAAGAACATTATATATCCTCTGTAAAAGATCTTGCCTGATTAAATTACGATGAACCAAATCCCAGATACAGACTTGCCCGTTATCTCCAGCGGTTGCGAGTAACGTCGAATCCGGAGAAAATCTGCAGACTCTCACCGCCTCGCCGCCTACTTGCACCATAGTATGTATCTTCGTTCCCGTCTTCGAAATTACACAAATTTACATTAATCCAAAACAAGAATCGCTAAAACATGATTTATGATTTTAGACTTTCACGTGACTTAATTTTTATGTGAAACGATCCTGGTGAAAATTTTTCTTAGAAATTTTTATACGAAGTAGAACACTTCAGAAATGAGAAATGTCTTTTCTCATTTTTTATATAAGAGAATTTTTTATATAAGATTTCTCATTTTATAATTTCTGAAAAACATTGAACTTTTTTATCAAAAATTATAGAATAAGAAATTTTAGAATATTTCAGAATTTATATATATGAAGAATTATAGAAAAGATGTAGAGTTCTCAGCACTTTAAAAAAATGTTCCAATTTATATAAAACTTAAAAAAAATTATATAAAAAATTTTGAGAAAAACATTCACTAGGAGATTCTATTCCTTTTATCATTATACTCGTACGTGTGCGTACCAACTACATAATTCGCTTTCTATATGTAGACATATACAAAAAAATTTATTGTGTACCATTAGTTTGCAATTTCAAAGATTAATGATATACAATGAATTTTTTTTCGTTAGTATTACAAAGCGTGTTCGTATTTTTCCATATTTTTAACCTACGCGCAAGTTCCAGAGCAGCGTGGTACCGTCTATGCTGGAGGTGGCCAACATAGTGGACTGGGGACTGACTTTGACTGAAGTAACACCATACTTGTGTCCCATTAGGGGTGAAAAGTAGGCCTCCACGTAGCCATTGCCAGGTTGCCATTCCCAAACCCGGACGCGTTTGTCCCTGTATGTTAAAAGAGAGAAGATGATTCTGATCTCTTAATACGCAGCGAAAACCGAGTACACTGGAAATGTGTGCATATCGATAACCGATATTTACCCGGATCCCGTTACCAGAATGCAATCACCAGCGAAGTCGACGCTGTTTACATCGCTGGTATAAACTGTCAAAGTCTGCAAGGCTTGCACGTCGCCTATGGCAGTCATGTTTTTTCAGATTAACGGGGTTCTTAGCTGTAAAGACGTATGAAATATTAATCAGCTGTGTCACTTCTCAAAGTCAAGTTGATGTCATCTATATCTTTAATGAAAAGGCGCATGTTATGTAATTTTTAATTTATCAACGGGAATAGTTCGAATTATATGTTACCTCTTTTGTCGATATTAAACAACAACGGATAAATTAATATTACCGCAGGTAAAACTGTTCTATTCGATTAGAAATAGGAATTATATACGATAGACTTCCACGTCAGAACTGAATGTCAGCATATCGACGAACATGGTATATATCATATCGTTATATTTTAAGTCATTACCTCGATAATATCAAATGATTATGATTTGTCATAGGTATTTTTAGAATTAATGTATTCCTTCGCTAGAGGTACATACATATTCTGTCACATAGAAATGTCGTAAGGGTAATGAGGCACGGGAGACTCCTTTAACCTTCGTTTTTCAAACATTCACGAACTGCATGTGCACGCGTTTTTCAATAATATATGTACCCTGAATCGACTAACTGTTCTACAGGTGGGCACACGTACAAAGGCAGCGGATTTCTAAAGTTTCTAAAAGTCAGACAGCCCTTGGCATTGACCACGCGTCGTTGAAGACATTTTATCGCGATTCACATTAATTTCATTACCATAATTGATAACTCCATATTTAGAAACATTATCTACATTTCTATGGAATTTAATCGCCAAATGATAATTAAATACCACGCAATTTCGTTATTAAAAGGACATTCGATCTCAAATCAAAACAGAGTCGCCTAATTTTCAGGGCGCAAATGAGAAGTTATGAGTTACATTAATAATTTTTTCAGTTATCTGTACATTGATCATTAAAATTGCAACGATAAAAAAATCGCATTATATTAAATTGAAATTTGTAGAATGTATAGGTCATAGTAAAATATGAAAATAAGCTGTATTTCTAATAAAAATACTAAGCTATACTTTTATATTAAACCTCATTGTATCATAAATAATCCATATAAATGCTTTGATATCAGTTCATAAGTTTTTTGGTGTTGCAATTTTAATGACCAGCAGTGTACACATCGATCATTCTATTTTTTTGCAATTCTTCAGAATTTACAACGAATAAAATAGCAATTTTTTTCAACATATAATAAAAACAGAATTAATGTCGAACTTAGACAGTGAGAGTTTTATCGTTGATGTTGACGTGTACATCAAAGTACACATCGATTGTACTTATCTGTTCATCATATGAATAAAACAAACGCAAATATTACAGCCGCGATACTGATCGCGGCTGTAAAAAATAGCTCGCTATATATAAAGCATTTGCTATCGGTTGTATTATAATTAATCAAATAAGGGCACAGCGTAAGTCCCATCGCAAAACAAATGATACGTTCGAAATGAAATTGTAATGTCACGCGATAAATAAAAATATACAGCTGTTTGTGTACATATGCCGTTATATTTATCTTAACGCGAAAATCTATCCGATTGCAACGATATGCACATTATACTTATTATATTTAAGGAAAAATTATTGACACGTAATTGAATAAAATATTGTCGCTCCTTTTTCATACGAGGTTAAAGACTTGTATAACAATATTTAAAATGTCCATTTCTGTTAATGTATTACATAGATTAATTCTTAATGTTTCAGTTTTTTTTATAGGATGGATCGTTTGTGTTCTGTTTAATTTTCAAGAATACAAAAATTATTAAATAATTCTTATACTTTAACACCTTTAAAAAATATTTGTAACGTTGTACATTAAAAATAAAGAAAGGGTAAAGATATTTTTAGACAATAGATGCTCCGATTTCTTGGTTCTATAAAACGCATAATGCGTTTGATATATTATTCTACCAACAAATGTTGTTGTATATTTATATCACGATCTTAAAAGATACTTGAGCGTTTGATATTATCATTTTTAGCCTTATCATTTAATATTCGGTGAACAACAAGGATAAAATGATCAAAGATAAAATGTTTTACAGAACCCAGTTAATATTTCAAAGAAAAGAAATGCGCTGAACACGAATGACCTAATTGTATGTACTAACACTGAGAAAAAAACACTGTTTGGTATTTGTGATCATAATTGCATGATAAAATAATTATGATTACAAACTCCATTTTTATAGATTCTATAATATCAGTAATAATAATCATATAATGTAGTAACTATAAAAATGGAGTTTGTAATCCTTTCAATATGAAAAAATTGTATTATAAAATGTAATTTTAAATATTAATACAGTAAAATATCAAGATAAATGGCAAATAAAATAATCATTTTTATTCAGTAAATGCAATCGCATTATAATAGTAAATTTTTTTTTAATTTGCTTATTATGTAGTAAATGAAAAATATGTTAAGAAAAAGAATAAAAGATTTTATAAATAAAGATTTTCAACGTGTGTTGTTAATAGCACAGTTGACTATATTTGCATGGTTAAAATAATTATAAATACATAGTTGTCCAAAAAATGAGTTTAAATTATTAATTATTATTAATAATTAATTAAACAAAGAATTAATTTTCATTTAATTTACCTTTTATTTGATTTATCATTTTTTTTATTCTTAGAATTAGAGAAAGATAAAAAATAAATTAAACTATAATTAATCTAAATTGATAGAAACAAACATAAGTCGTATAAATCATATAAAACTAATAGCGCAAATATTCTATAACATGGAAAATCACTACATTGACTAAATACTAATCAGATAGACTTCATTATGTTATAAAATAAGTACAAAGGGGAAATTAGAAATTTTTATAGAATGTGAAATCATATTAACCGTAAATTCAAGCGTAAACTTCACCGTGTTATGAAGGTGTAAATAAATAGATTAAGTAAATAGTAAGGAAAAATTAGAAATCTTAGAACACGTGATTATATTAACTGCGTAAATTTCATCGCATTATAAAAATAAAAACAAATACATAATGAGAAAATTAAAAATTTTATAAAATGCGAAATAGTATTACCTATAAACGTCGTCACATTATTAAGATATCAAAGAGTATGTAAAAGAAAATTATAGAAATTTTACACTGCCGAGTCCGATCGTTATTTGTTTAAAATTCTTTTCATCTGTCATATTTCAAAAACACGTTTATTGAAGAGTTAAATGACTCTGAAAAATATTAATAAATATATCCAGTATCAAACGTCCCACCGACACAAAAATAGCTATATTTAATAATAATTTATCCATTATGACTCGCGTGGGTGGTGAGCCGTTATTTAATTCCCAAGCCAATGAACCCCTTATTAAATTATTGACTATAACAGTAAACCGAAAACCAATCAAGCGGAAAACAAATTGACGCTCTCTCCGATCCGGATCACAAATTCATCATCTTATTAAATATACATATACATAGAATCGTTAACTTCAATTAACATCTTTTTAAGTTGTAAGTTCGTTTTTAATTATACTCTCTCTCTATAATTGTACATCGGACGGACGGAACATCGTTTGTGGTTTTATGACTTTTCCTTCGCGTTTCTCGCTCAGACGACGATTTTGCAGACTCAATCATCTCTCTCGTACTCACTCGTAGCAAAGGCACATGTTCCAGACACTAATCGACGGTCCTCGCGGTGCCTCGTCGCTCCATCAACGAGCATCCACACGGCACATGATTCTTCGCTGCCGCGATTCCCGTGAACTCTACGTGTCGCGAGACGGTGTCACATTATGTTTTCGCGTTCGACATAGTGCTCCTGCTGAGACACTTCAAACAGGATACCCCAGACAGGGCACCTGTCACAATGAAGTTAAAAGCGCTAAACGCATGTCCACTGGCTGCCTTCAGGATCGATATTACAGGAGGCGTAACGCGAGATATAAACTGCATGCGGTGCTTGCAAAATGTAACATCGCTGCTAAGTGTAAACCCGTCTCTTTTTATCCCTCTCTCATTTTTTTTCACAGCCTCGCAGAACGAGACAATTTTACGCTTATCCGTGTTGCGTAATCCATCAGATTAATAAAGTAAATTGCTTTGTTATTCGCGAGCATGTGATATTAATTTGTTGACCGCTTATGATAATGTTCAGTTTTTTATTTAGTAACATATATATATCTGCAGAATATAATTATTCAGATATTTGTAATTTATTAAGCGAGAAAAAAATTTATGTACGAGACAAATTTGTATTTTTTTCTTTAATTTACTCAGAGAAATTTATCGATAATGAATTAAACGTTTATTTAGATCTGAATAGATTGTAGAATAAACGATCGCAAAATTTTATATCCGACATGGCAAGTGCGTATTCACGTAACAATTAATTTGAAATTAATTCTATCGGATCTCGAGACGCGCGTATAAAATTCATCGCATCGCACGCGTCTTCGAATTTTCATTTTGCAGTGAAAATGCATATTCATATGATTGACATAAAGTCACTAGACTGATGTATATACATAAATATATAGAAATGAACGAGCTAGGAGGATGAGATGGACCTCGATTATTTTAGTTAATAATAGGTTTTAGGTTTTAATAATAGTTAGGCACAATAGAAGGAATAAGGAATAAAGAATAAACGATTTCAACCTATCAGAAACCATGTATTCCGATGTATCCGATTTCTAGATAGATTAAAATCATTTATTCTTTATTACTAATTCCTTATTCCTTTTATTGTGAAGAGGATTTTTCTCAATAACAATATTAAGGCTACTATTTCATGCGGCATAACTTGCACAATCCAATTGGTCTGTTCGCGTTATTTAAAATCCCCAAAAATTTTAAACTTAAAATGAGATAGATACATATTTGAGCGTCGATAAAAGAGAAAACAAAAATACCGAGTGCAAAAAGTGAGCATTGATTAGCATTAATTAACCCCTTTCGGGTTTCTCTTTAATAATTTTTATTAAAAGGGATCAATTAATGCTAATGGACTCAATCATGTTGCTTGCACTTTTTGCACTCAGTATTTTTGCTTTCTCTTTTATCAACGCTCAAATATGTATCTATCTCATTTTAAATTTAAAATTTTTTGAAGATTTTAAACAACGGCTCAATAAGTTGCAAATACTCTGTCGTCAGTCGCAATGCTTCGCAACAGCCAATTAAAAACATCAATAACTAGTGTTTCTGATTGGCTGTCATGAAGTATTGCAACTGGCGACGGTGTGTTGGCAACTTATTGTAGACCATGCTTTAAGTCGATTTTACATTAGTTGCAAGCTGATCGAAAGTTTGTTGCGACAGCCAATATGAAGCGTTGATTTCAAACCTGCAATCGGCTTGCGTCTAATATAGAACCGATTTAAAACAGTTACATGTCCCTGATATCACTCTATTCTTGTTATTTATCGAACGTTAAACAAGGCTGACATGACACTCGGGTGAGAATCTGAACACACCTCTAGCGAGACGCGTGCGCTGACTGACCGATACTGAAGTAAAGATATGTGACACACGTGAAGTAAACGTGTATTAACGCGCATGTAAACACATGACAGCTGAAATCAGCGATCAGAGTATTAGATGAGGTAAACAATCGCTAAAGGAAAATTCATTATTATTTATGGACTCTCTGAGACCGATCTGAGAGAAATCCGATGCCGCTCGGCAACAAGCCAAAATGTGTCAAGTGCGGGACACATGAGACCCCTCTATGGCATTCGACTGACGCTGGGAACTTGTGCAATGCTTGTTTGGAGGACGAACGGAATGCTGAGGCGAGCACGTCTTCCAAGACGGATGAGGAGGATAGAAGCGGCTCGCTGAAGCCTAGAAGGAGCACACGAATCACGAGATATTGTAACACGAAGGCGATAGGGCCACACAGAATTGTGCCCAAGGGTAAAGGTCGCAGGAATCTGTTCAAGAAAACGGTGAGCGAGTGGAAGATGTTCTTCCATTTTTGTCACAATGATGTGGTAGATGCTTTTCAACAAAAGATGTGAGATGCGTTCCAGTTTCACACTCATATGCTACAAGCATCAATTCATTCTTATTATTTATCAATCCTGCAAACAAGAGCCTTAAGCCTTAAGAAATTAATCAATTACAATCAAATGTGAGAAGAATAATTGACTATAACTGATCAATTCCTTAAAATTTAAGGCTTACTATTCTATTATGTTTGTAGGATAAATATTAAACAAGAACAAATGATATTATAAGCAAAACCGAACACACTCCCATGTAACACAGTGAATCATTATATTCTTGTTTGTCAATATTATAAGGATAATAATCATAATAGATACTTTCCATGATATAACACAAACATTTATCTGGCATTTAATGAATAACAGAGACAATTTGTGTCAATTTGCGTCACTAAATGGAAAGTCTATATTGTGTCATCTGTTTTTCAACAAAAGTCATAGTCATTTCATCTTTGTTTAACATTAGCAACAAGAATATAATGATTCACTGTATTACCTGTCTTTTTTACTTACAGTCTCTCATAGAAATATGTGGAATCATTGACTGTTTATGTTTAACTATATTTGCAGCCAGTCAAGGCACCTACAGCTACTGCGACTCCAACCACCAGCAACTTTGTATTTTACAAAGGCACATATTTTCAAGTTGGAGATATAGTCTCTCTGCAAGACGTAGACGGTGGTATTTATTATGCTCAGATACGTGGTTTATTGACGGACCAGTATTGTGAAAAGAGTGCCGCCATTACCTGGTTATTACCCACCACAGCGAGGTGAGGTTTCTTATTTCATTAACTTCATGAGATTATAACAATATTTTATAATAATATTTATCAATATACATATTCTTTTAATTCAATTTCTTACACAGTTTATCTTTTTCTTTTCATAGAAAAAAAAAGAAAAGAAACTGTGCAAGAAGTTAAATGAACAGACTTGTTAACTGATGTACCTTTTAGTCCTCCACCAGAAGAAGGCTTCATTCCTGAGACATATTTAATTGGACCAGAAGAAGATTTACCTCGTAAATTAGAGTGTATGGAATTTGTAATGCACGCTCCATCGGATTATTTCAAGTTAAAAAACAGTCCCTATCCACCTCCTCTCACAGAGAAAGGAGCGGGCTTCATATGGACGACTCTTAGAAATGAATTGGCCATATCTAAAAAGTAATAGTAATTCTTTATCGTAATTGAGAACATGTATTAGTACCTAGCTCAACACAAAGTCCAATAAAAAAGTCTGTCCTAATTTTGGTCTTTGTGTTGTTTGGACAGTGTCGCTCTAAGCTTAAAATAATAAAATCATTTTTACACGCAATCACTATAATTTCTTTTTTTAATACTTTTTAGTCATATGTGTTATTTAAATTAAGAATGATTAGAATTATGTGGGATTGTAAAGAAGTCGCAAGAGTTGACACGAAGAAAATATGATATATTTTGAATGTGCATCACTGTACAATATAGAAATAATTTTGTAAAAAACAATACACATTTACAATAGTGCTATTTTATTTATTAAATATATTTTTATTACAATATAACATTAATGCTTTTCAGTGAATAACATGTATTTCTTACATGTAATGGAACGTGAAGCTAGACTACTAGACAATCGAAAAGTTGCCAATACTATAACTGAATTCGTAAATTTGCAGAAGTCTGATATCGTTTTAATATCTCTTATCATATATAAAAAATTTAAGAAACATTCTCTCATCTTCGATTTCTTTTCTTGTTTAGAAATTCCTCGAAATTAGTTTCTCTCGTAGTTCGTATTTTCTTACCGGAAGAACCGTGACTCAAAAAAGATAATGATCTTCATCCATGATCTTTAACTCTGATATCGTTGAGACGAGATATACGCAGAGGTAGCAGGCAGCATTGGTGCATTCTCGCTTGCTTGAAGGGAGGGGAAAAGTGTCCTCGGTGCGACGGTGGTGTCAGTTACATTCGGGATGACAGAAGAGACTAGTCAGCTGGGTGCCAACGATGTGACGGCTGGTCAGAATTTGAGGTCTTTTATAGCTTGCGGCAAGTCAGGCAGTTTCATATCCTTTATTTGTTGCGGTATATTCATGTTCTTCACCGCTGAGACAGCACGCGCGGGCGCTGCTGTGATTCCCGCCTGCACACATCATACGGATCGAAGAAGAGTGGAGAACGGATAAGTTTCAGCAGGGCTGAGTAAATGTAAGGGCTGTAATTTTAGTTACAAGGAGCGAAGGCAAATGACGGATGACAACATTGACAACACGGCGTTGACATTTATTATCCTTACAAGCGACATTTACATTATGAAGGCACTCGGTTTATGCAATGGATAATTACAAAACAAAATTGCATCGCCATGCGTGTTACGCAAACGTTTACGTTTTATGAAGCTAAATACAAAAGACTTGGCGCTTTCTTGGATAAAATATTAAAAAAGAAAAATAAAAAGAATGAATTCGCACAGAAGTACGATTATATAAAGTGGCCTTTGCTACTGCCGATTTACTTAAGGAGGAGGTCCCAGAAGGACAAACGGACGGGGTGAGCAAGACCGCCCAGATTTGTAAGTCCCCTAAAATTGATGTTATGTCAATCAGTCCTACCTGTCACCATATCAAATATGTTTTACAGATTGCTGTACCAGTATGTATAGCATGCATAGCTCAACAGACTGCTTAGGTAGATATGTATTAAAGCTCAGTGACAGAAAATAAACACATTGCAAAATTAGCAGCACTAGCTTAAACGTTTTATCTGATGAAATGGGCATGATGTAAACATTTGGATGTAACAAAATTATAAAAGTTTATACATCGTGAGTATAAATTGAAACAATCCTGTGATTTTGCCATAATTTTATTACATTATAACATGAAACTTATTCTTTTTAGCTAAATTTCTTGTACCACATTTATTTTTCCTTTTCTTTTTATGTTGGAGAAAAAAAAAAGAAATAAATTATGGAAGAAGTTCAGCTAAATAGAACAGGGGTTTATTCAATATATCTAAATCAAGGATATAAGATCACAATTAAGATAACAGGGATTATAAGCAACCTATACTTACCTCTTGTTTTTCCAACTTATTCTGATCCTCAATCCTCGTGAGAATCTCAGTCATGTTAGTCTCGAGAACCATACCACCCATCACCAACTCATTAAGTATGTAATGAACTTTATCCACATGAAAAATAAGATCAAGCTCGCACACATTCTCAAAGCATTTGTCTAAAGTTTCAACGAAGACTTGTATTAGGTCTAGGATTCCCAGCTCTGATTCTGAGCTATCGACGCAGAATACAAAGTAAAGCGTTGCATAGTGTCGGTAGATCAGCTTGTAGTCAGATCCGCCAATCAGGCTACCACCCTCCAAGAAATTGCACACGTTGTCGTCTCTCTTCGAGACAAGCTGAAATGTCTCTTTTATTATCTGCTGCTGCATATCTTCGTTCTGAAGCAGAAAATGTATTGTGTATTGCAACAATCCATATGCTTTTATGTTCCTATCGCATTCCACATAATTGTGATTCGATAGATAAATCGACGTAGAAATTATGCCGTATATTGTCTCCACTATTAGTTTTTATTATATCTCAATAAATAAAAGGATTTAATTCGCAGAATTTACAAGCAGAAGAGAAGTCCAAAACGAACAGCATTGAGATATACTTACAAAGTACTGATAAAACTTGGAGAGACGAGGTTTCCCATGATTATTAAAGACCAGGATCGCTTTAATCATGTCTGTGAATCCGAAGTCAATTGGCGTCACTGAACCTTACGGTAATTCTGTCACTATGTTCGAAGCGCACGATCATTGGGGCACGAGAGGTTATGTTCTACTACCGCAACTATGCTCTGACGTTTTAATTCTCATTATTTTTCTTTGGCAAGTTGGAAACTCTTCGTAGTGTATATACTAATTGATAATTAATTGAGCAATTGGAGATAAACTCTCCAAGGGTATCGGTCAATTGACGGCTGTCAATTTATCTGTCAGTGAGCTGACATTTAAAAAATCAAAAGAATTCACTCTACTTGACTAGTTGACTACGTGTAACTACTTGTTCACTTGCACTCTCTGACACTTTCTGTACTTAAAATGAAATGAACATATATTCAGGAACGTACAAAAGTAGTGAGGGATAAGGCGATAATCCGATCGAAGAAAAATTATTATTTGACAAATATTCGCCCTTTTTGTTTTAAAAATAGCTCTTTTTCTTCTCAAGGAGAACAAAAAAGTCATTAAAATAATAATGTACGTTGTATATATGTATATATTAACCGAATTATGATAAAAAAAGCCATAAAAATTTAATTTTTAAATTTAATAACAAATTAAATTTAATAATTTGCAGTTAATGATATTAAATTGACATTTTGATTTTTTCTTGTTCTTGATGGATTTATATATATTCATTAGTTTTTTTTTTTCATTGGCATATGGAGTTCGAATAAAATGATTTTGAATAAATGCTCTCTATTTAATCGACGATTACAACCCTAAGTATAGATCTCCAAGGGATGTTCTAAAAAACATCTAGAGGATATCTCTATGTCCTAAGAATTCACGTTCGCCAAAATGTCTCTCGAATAAAGTATACTATCAGGAAATTTCCCGAGGAAAAATATTTCATATCTAATCATATGTGTATGTAATTATATGTATATATAATTATATACAGTTATATATAATTATATTAAAAAATTGACATTTTATATACAATTACAATTATTAGAATTGTATAGTGCTAAGTTAAAAAGATAAAAGTTAAGTTAAAAAGTTAAAAAATTAATTAATTTTAATTAGTTACATTTTATCCATAACTATTAATTTTTTATTTAATTCTTTGAAGTTAAGTCTCAGATATAATATGCGACAATAGCGATGACTTAAAATGAGATGAAAATTGCAAAAGTGAGCAAATTTATTATAAGTTAACCAATGAAATTATAAATATTCTATTGAATTTGCTCATTTTTGTAATTTTCACCTCATTTCAAATTATACAATCAATCCCCAGATTTCAATCTGTCAGAAATCGTGTATCTTATAGTTCCTGATAGGTTGAAATCTATTATTCCTTATTATTATCGTTATTGTGTCTGTTCCTCGTATTGTGTCTGAAGCTTTAGTCATATCACAGATCAGTATTCATAGTCGAATCTTATACTAAACAGTATATATAAACAAAACATGTAAATAGAGTATTTTCTAAATGAAGTATATATATTTGTCATTTCCGTTCTTTGTAAAACTCTGGAATTATGAATAAAAAAAATAAAAAAAAACAAATTTAACTTTTAACTTTTCAATTACTTTTTTTTACTTAACTTATAATTTAATTAATTTTATTATA